ATAGTGTCCCTTTAAGGAATTGCAACCCTTATCACATACAGTTCCCTTATTTCATGGACTCAAATGTATTTGGACAAATTAACACAGTCATAAATAAAAGTTTCAGGAATCATTTGCAGGCAATGACTGCTTGAAGTCTGGAAAGCATGGACATCACCAAACTCTGTGTTTCCTGTTTTGTGATGCTTTGCAAGGCCTTTACTGCAACTGTCTTCAGTTGTTGTTTGTTTGTTGGTTTTCCTGCCTTAAGTTTTGTCTTCAAAAGAAAGTGAAATGCATGTTCGATCGGGTTAAAATCAGATGATATTGATTGCAGAATATGCCACTTCTTTACCTTAAATAAACTCCTGGGTTGCTCTCACAGTATGTTTTGGATCATTGTCCATCTGTAAAGTGAAGTGCCATCCAATCAACTTTGCTGAATTTGGCTACATCTGAGCAGTCAATATATCCCTATACACTTCAGAATTCATCTGGCTGCTTCTGTCTTCTGTCGCATCATCAAAAAAAAAATAGAGACCCAGTGCCATTGGAATCCATACATGCTCATGGAGTAACACTCACTGCCTCTACTATGTTTTACAGATGATGTGGTATAATTTGGATCATGAGCTGTTCCAAGTCTTCATAGTTTTTTCTTACCATCATTCTGGTACAGGTTGAGCTTAGTTTTATCTGTCCAAAAAATGCTGTTCCAGAACTAGGCAGAGTTTTTTAGATATTTTTTGTGACTAAGTCTAATCTGGCCTTTCTATTCTTGAGGCTTATTAATGGTTTGCACCTTGTGGTTAACCCTCTGTATTTTCTCTTGTGAAGTCTTCTCTTTATAGTAGACTTGGATAATGATATGCTTACATTCTGTTCTTCACTTGACTAAAAAGTATACTACGATCATACACCTCTGTTTTATGTGAACATCAACATCTTGTGTTGCAGAGCTCACTGGTGCATTCTTTTTTTATTTTTTCAGAATGTACCAAACTGTTGATTTGTTCACTCCTAATGTTCCTGCTATCTCTTATACCTTTTGTAACGGACCATTTTGCACACAAGAGGTTAAAACCGTTTAGGCGATATTCCCCTTTCCAGATGCACAGACAGCTACTGTAAGCACCAATCTCCCGAACTGCAAACTACATGAATCCTCCAACTCCCGAACAGGAAACACACGAATACTGGAAACAGCAGAACAGGAAAAGCATACAATCAGCTTACACTCCTGGCAATCAGCACACAATCCTATTCCCCCAATAACGAGACAACACTTCGTTTTGAGGTCAAGCAAAACTAATTTACTGGGGCTACCTGCCCGGCTTTTATGCAGGTCTTCCACCTGGTGGACACTCCCCTAGGGGACCAGATGGAAGACTGGGAAACATATTGGCCATTAACCAATCACAGACATACACCTTTAAACACACCCACAATGCATCACAGTCCCTCCTCTCTATCTTGGAGATAATTGGGAAGTAATCCAATTATCTCCCAGGACAGAGGCAAAACTCCATTGAGCACATGTTAATAAAAAGACACAAAAATACCCACTGTTGCAAATAATTAACAAAACACATACATTCTACATATCCCCAGATAGCTTAGATCTGAGTGCACATTATTACCGAATGGCGCTCAGATCACATACATACAGTTCAATCGCCATGGAGCCAAAGTCTTTCCCATAGTCTTTCGTTACATGAATGGGCTCCATGGCTTAGCTATCTGGGGTGATGCTGTTCATCCGGTTAAACTACCGAATGAACAGTCATTCGGTTCCAGTACCGAATGCAGAGGTAAGGAGGTTGGCGGCTCAGCGGTGTTCACGCAAAAAGTGTCCATTTTCAGTTCCATAGTTTGGGCGCTGAACACCGCTGGCCGTTCGGGAGTTAAAATAGCCACTGCCACGTGTTCGGCAAACAAACAAAGGCCACCCAGCGTTCGTCAATTAAGCCACGGTTAACTGCAGCTTCTGGGCGGTCAATTGACAGCACACTCCCATCAATACAGACTCTTTAATCTAGACTTGGGTCTATTTAAATTACTTCCTGCTATAGTCAACAAACACAAACAATTTGTATTGCTATCATTTCACTGATTTTTGAGGGGGGGAAGGTATACAAAATATCCATCAGAAATCTTTTTCGCTACAAATACAGTTGAGCCAAACATGTGAAGCTAGGGACGATAGAGTTAAAAAGAGGTACACTATGTAAAAGAAGTCAATAGGGACACTATAGTCACCAGAACAACTACAGCTTATTGAATTTGTTATGGTGAGTAGAATCATTACCATCAGTTTTTTTGCTGTAAACACGGTCTTTTCAGAGAAAATGCAGTGTTTACATTACAGCCTAGTGATAACTTCACTGGCCACTCCTTAGATGGCTGTTAGAGATCCTTCCTGAGTCATGTCTGCCTAAAATGCATCCAAATATTCAGTATCTCCTCCCTCTGCATGCAAACACTGAACTTTCCTCATAGAGATACAATGATTCAATTCATCTCTATGAGGAGATGCTGATTGGCCAGGGCTGTGTTTGAATTGTGCTGGGTCTGCCCCTGATCTGCCTCTTTGTCAGTCTCAGCCAATCCTATGGGGAAGCATTGTGATTGGATCAGAAGGCCACCACTTCTGATGATGTCAGACATGTTTTTCTGAGGCAAACAGCATGCAGAGCTACAGCTTCAGGCTTGAATACATGTAAGATTTTTCTATATTTATGGAGGCATGAGGGGCCCAGGGGGGCTAGATTGTGGTTTTAACACTATGGGGTCAGGAATACATGTTTGTGTTTCTGATCCTATAATGCTCCTTTAATTAATGAGAGAATAAATCTCTAAAACGTTTGTAATTTGCTGCAGTGTCAGCAAATGAGGGTCATATAAGCCATTTCCCCACAATCCCTCCAACATCTGGTTTGTACATTGAAGTGGCTTGAAACATTTTTCGTACTCTAATTGGCACTAATACACCCGAGGAAGACTGTGTACCAGTTGAAATGTATTGTGCTATTTCTGGTGTTGCTATTTGATTTTATTTGTATGTAACAATAAAGAAAAAATAACAAGAAAGTGCTGAAGATTAAAATGTCAGCCTGGCGTGAGAGACACTATTTACATTTTTCATCACATAATGTTTAAACAATCATTAGACATAATACAATCTTGAGTCACCAACTGATCTCAGGTAGAATTAATATATTGAGTTACCTAAGAAGATTGTTAGTCTCCAATAAACAACCAAAAGATCTAAAGTAATTATTTTTAGAATTCTAAATGTCTAATTTAGAATTAAAAATGGCTGACATTGCCCTTTTTAATTCAAATCTAAATAAAAGTTACACTTTAATCTTCACCACTTTCATGTTACTTTTTTCAATATAAGAAAAAAGAAAGGGGGCAAGGGCTGCGCTATCCGTATATTGGAAAGAGGGAACTATATACAATGATAACTGTTAAAACAGAGTCCATACATGAGTAAACAGTAAAAACAAAGTCCATGCAGTAGTAGAGATCAAATGATAAAATGTCCAATAAAATGCATAAAATCCACAGAATGCATAAAATTGTCTCACTGATATAAGGATAGGGCGTATATACAATCCTCAGGAATGACACCGTCCGGGTTGTGGGTGATCTGTATATGTGGAGATAAAAACACAACAAACTTCCAATGGTGTTGTTTTGTGACTTAAGGAGTAATAAGAGTAAAAATGGAGGATAATACACTCACATTTGATGGAGCTTTGGACCAGCTCTTGGATGAAGGGCACTTAGCCATATAATCCCCGCTAGAGGATATACTGTGACGGTTGGTCTGTCCTTCCAATTGGATTTCCGTAGTTGTCCGTAGAATATATGAAAACATAAATAGTGCTCTCAATTGGAAAAGATAAAATAAAGAAAGTATAAAATAAAATATACTCACAATATTAGAGCAGAAAGTACTGCTCTATATGTACAGCTCTGGTGGAATAATCCCCATCCATGGATTGCTTGAACAGGATACAGTAGGATGCCAGGAAAAATAAATAAATAAAGGAAAGTGTATATACAATAAGATAAAATTTGGTCCTATGACAAAATGATACCAAATAAAAACTTTTTTATTGTTAAAATACACAATTCAACATAAAATACACAGTGTTAACAAGTACTTTGCTGCTATGGTAACAATAGTGCTTAATTCATATTTATAATTTTGGTTCCTGACTTTCCATACTGCTGAAGAAAAAAAACTGCTCCTGGCACATATAACAATTGAAGCAAAGTGCATCTTCAAACTTCTACTTGATGCCTACACAGTTTAGAGCTGACTCATAAAAGGCTCTAAAGATTGTTTTTCGAATAACCTTCCCCCAAAGAGCTCTTATCTTAATAAATTGCAATATGAGGTTTACTTTTTATATTATATAGGTATTTTATTATAAAACAGGTGGTAACTATAATCTCTGGGTTCGCTTCACCTTCTATGTTGTTTGTACTATGTGCCATTTGTATGAAATGGTTCTCAAAATGGTGGTACATTGGGTCATGTTCTAAAAATGTATTAATAATCTTATCTGATAAATAACATTTCAATTCTAATTCCTTTTCTCACGACAGCATAAATAATTTTTTTGGTTTGGAGCTGATGAAAAAAACAAAGGGATATGGTGTGCTTCTGATTAGTGTTGTGTCGATAAACATTTTAAAGATTAGACATTTGTAATTTGTCCATTTTCGGATCAGTATTTTTTTTTGTCAATCTTTCTTTTATTGAGACAAATAAGTTGGGGTACAGAAATAGAGAAAAGGGAAACATGCAAGTTTGAGTACATGTAAGGGATATCACAGCAGTAAGTAACATTTCCTAGATAACATGCTCATTAGTTAAACTCATGCTTTAGGCATAATCAACTACACAGGCATATCGCAATAGAAGGTGTGCTATATGTCGTCATTATTTGTGATCACCGGGGGTAGGGCAGGAGCCCATATCTAGCTAGGAAGGTAGGTTGTCCCAGCTGGCTTATCCTATCGTGTGGCTGCTTCATTGCTAGGTGAATAGCTAGGAGTTCTCATACAGTATTTGTTATGGCCCTACCTGGCCTGGTCAGCTCGCTTGGGCTTAGTAAACTATTCCCTTAGACATTCTATGAACAGGCTGAGATGTAGGCTTATTAAGACATATGGTATAGAAAGGCTGAGCTGAGGCCAGTTACTACAGCACTGGTAACACAGTCTAATCTAAGTGGACACATAGGCTATGTAATTGCATGCTAAAAACATCAGGCTTCTTTTACATTATGAGAGTCCTTCTCAACATCAGACTGTAATGGGCAATTGAGTAAATTATGGGGTAAGTTGTGGAGGACCCTAGTCTGACAGGGTGCAGACAACCTTGACTGGGCTCGTTTCTGGCAGTGCGGATTGTCTGAGTTGGGTTCCCATTGAGCAGTGATGCTCACGACCAGAAGCTTCCATGTGCATGCCCCACCGGCCCATGAGTCCCTGATCAGCCAATTCCCATGCGGGCTGTTGGGGCACCTTGTGTCTGGGGTGTCCCTCTGTCGATGAGGAGATGCGGGCGTGAAGAGGGTCAGCACCTGCGGCCCACAGACTCGGGAACTTCTCGAGGCCGGGTCTTCCCTTTTTTGGGTGCCCAGATGTGTCCAGATGTTCTGCCGCTGCCAGCGGTGGTTGGGCCTCGGGCAGTGTGGACGGTGTCTTGGAGGTATTCTCCAGATGGCCCTCAGCCCAGTAGGATGCAGGGTTTTTGCGGTTCTGCAAGGTGTGCCGAAGTGCGACCCCTTCTGGTTCCACCTTGTCACCACCCCAGTGTGGGAGTGGGGCCGAGATTTCTCTCCTTTCCAGAGTGCTCTTTGGGTGGGAGTAATGTCCGCCTGGTGCTTCTCATGGTGGGTCTTTTGTGTAGTAGGTAGGCATGTTGTTGTGGCTGCTCTTTGGTTAATGTGGTGCCAGAATTTATAGCAGATGGCATCAAACCTGGCTTCAAATAGGACCCTCCATTTGGTGTGTGGGATGCTATGCTGGGCTTCCCGCGTGGCGGCCATCTTGGCCTCGCCACGAGGTTCATTCCGTGTGGTACCTCTGCCCTCCGGTTCTCGGTGCTTGTGCCCCCTTCCATGGCTAGTAGGTGGACCGGGATAAACCCCACCAGTTCAGGGGGGGGGTCGGAGTGTAGCGGGTCCGCGAGCAGGGCCCAAACTCAGGAAGATCAGCTGCCTCTCCCTCGTCTAGGCCTCAACAGGTCGCTGCCGGGCTCTCTGTCATCAATGGTGGTCTTCAGGGTGAGTAGTTTAACGTGTGCCCAGAGTTCCCTGTGTGTATATTCTTTCAAGGCTTTGCTCGAGCCCAGCATTCAGGCTTAAAATTGCAATTTTATTCGATTTTTGTGCAGGACCTCAAGCGAACACGTCTGGGGTAAGTCTGCTCAGCTTGGCAGTCAGGCTCCGCCCCTCGGATCAGTATTTTAAATCTAAAAAATGTATTGCAATTTGGAAGAAATTAAGTTATATCGAGGGTTTATGGTGTTATCCAAATGATATCTAGTTTTCAGCTCATCATAAAATAGAAGGAAATTTGTGGAAAAGATATTCCTTTAAATGGAATGCCACATCTCAATATCAAAATTCAGATTAAGGTGACCAATAGCAGACAAAGTCATAGCTCTTGACCACAGATTGTTTTGTTATATAGTTTGATATAAATTATTCTAGGCATTTGCATGGGGCAAATTTTCGGTTTGGTTTAGCATTCCGAAATTCGGGACTTCTGCAATTCGACACTTCGTCAACTTTGGCAACTTCGGGACTTTGGGACTTCTCTTGCAGCTGCTTAGTAGATAACTCCCTAATTCCCACGGGATAAGGGAGTTATCTACCAAAAGGCTGAAAGACCTAAATTAGTGTTTCAGTCAAATTTACTAATACTGTGGCTGCTCACTTTAAAAAAAAAAAAACCTATTGCCCCCCCCCAGCCCCTAAATTAGAATAAGGGGGGGGACCTAATGTCCTCCCCCCTGAGCAGTGGGTGGGGGCCCTAAATACTAATAAGGGGGGGGACCTAATGTCCTTCCCCCCGGCCCACACCCCTGAGCGGCGGGTGGGGGCCCTAGAGTAAAATGATGGGGGGGGACCTACTGTCCTCCACCTGGCCCCCACCCCTGAGCGGAGGGTGGGGGCCCTAAATACTAATAAAGGGGGACCTAATGTCCTCCCCCCAGGCCCCCAACCCATGAATGGTGGGTGGGGCCCCTAATTAATAATGGGGGACCTAATGTCCTCCCCCCTGAACTCCACTCCTGCGCAGTGGGTGGGGGGCCTAAATACTAATAAGGGGGGGACCTAATGTCCTCCCTCCTGGCCCCCACCCCTGAGCGGCGGGTGGGGGCCCTAAATAAAAAATGAAGCCCCCCCAAGTGACTAGGGGTCCCCAAAGCCCTAGTGATCCCCCTACCCAAAAAAAAAACTAACCCCTACCTACCCCGTCACCCTAAAAAATAATGTCCTCTCCCCTGGCCCCCACCCCTGAGCGGTAAATGAAGAGACTGACAGGTAAGACTCTACATTTACCTGTCACAGCACTCTGATTGGTTGGCTTGAAATCCACCAATCAGAGTGCTCTGTGTCATTTTACACAGTGTGGGAAAGTTCTTTGGAATTTTCCCACGCTGTGTAATTTGACTCATAACTCTCTGATTGGTGGATTCAGTCAGTCTCTTCATTTACCTGTCAGAGCACTCTGATTGGATGGCTTGCTGAAGTTGTAGCTGCAGAGTGGCGTGTGTGCCCCTAATGGTTATCTGGAGGCTGGTGTCAGCTATATGTGTCGGCTGCACAGGATTGCCGGTTTTTGGGACGTCTTGGTGCAGGCTTGTTAGGAGGTGAGTAGGAGGTTGGCTGGTGTGCCGGCATTTCTCACTTGGCTGCAGGCTCAGTGTTTTCGAGTGGGATCGTTTGGAATGTGGTGTTGTGCCATCCCCTCAGTGCAGCCGCTGTTCAGGTTGGTTGGTATGGCTGTGGGGGTATGTGAGTGATGTCCCTCCTTCCTGTATGGCAGGATCGGAGTGTGGGAGCCACGGTGACTACTGTGAGTGTGGGGAGGGAGCTGGTCTCTCCCTCGTCCCCTGCGCACATGGTGCCTGCCATCTTAGACGCAGCTGTCGGGCCCGCCAGAGGCAGCCCGGCCAGGGCCGCAGGGTGAGGACAGGGATCACCCCCACCGGTCCAAAGGGGGGAACAGGGCTGGGTCCACTCGGATTGGCGCCGCTGGCTGGGAGCTTTGTTGCAGGATAGTGAGGCAGCGGCTGTCTGCCCCACTCACCGCCGGAGAAGGCCTCTTTTGGGGCAACGGAAGTTTCTCCTTCAGGGACTGAAGCCAGATAGGCCAGCCTCTCCCTGGATGAAGTGGTCCCTCTGCTTTGAGCGCCCTTGCTTTCGGTCTATTTTCGAGAGTGAAGGCATGTTATTTTAGCAGTGTTTTGCTTTCTTTTTTTTTTTATTAATTCTTTATTTTAAAGATTTTCTGAGGGGGTACAAAAGAAAGGGAAATGGGTAGCATGAGTGATGGTACATTTCATCTCCAATACGCAGATTGGTCTTGTTTGTCATACCCTTATACAGTTTGTTCTTGTATATCATTTGGGTCGGAGGGGTACAAACATGGGGTAGGTGGGATACAAGTTTCAAGCAAACAGCTATCGTTTTGTAAACCTTTATAGTGGTGTTGGAGAGGGTGGTAGTTTGTGCTGGTTGACAGTTGTTCCTCGAGTCTCTCCTGGTGGGTCTGAGTTGTTGTGCGTTTGTTGTCCTTTTGAGTGGTATATCTGGTGTTTGTTTTCCTGTGGGTGCTTGGGTGTCCTGTTGGATCAGAAATTTTATTGTGGAGGTTGTTCTGGGGGTTATGTGGAGTTTGTCGGTTGTTGGTGTTGTGTAGGGTAAGCGGTCCCTGTAATTCTCGGTGTCTACTTTATTGTTGATCGGTTAGTTTCCCAGTGGTCGTGCCAGGTGGTGATTTTGTCTTGGTTGTGCTTGTGTTGTGTTTGCAATGGTAGTCGTGCCTTGATTGGATGGTCGAGGGTGTTTTGCGTGTTCTCTGTCCAGATGGGTTCTGCAGGGTTTCCAGTAGGTGTGCTGTATGCATGGGTTTACTTTGAGTGACTTGTGGGTGAATGGGGGGTGGGGGATTGGTGCTGTGGGGGTGAAGGGGGAGGAGGAAGGTCCTGGAGCGGCCGCACGCCCCAGCCCCTCCCCTACACCCCAACTAGGTGCCTCATAATCCATGGGTCCCAGATTTTGTGGAAGTGTTTTGTGTTTCGTGTAGGATGGCTGAGAGTTTGTCTCAGGGTGTCAGGTACCATCTGAGAATGGTTTTGTATGCTTGTTCCTTATGATTTACACATATGGTAAGCGAGGCGGTGGCTTCCCATATGCTTACCCAGTCTGATGGGTTCCCTGGTGGGCCTATGTCTCTTTCCCAGGCCTTCGTGTAGGTGAGTGTGTCTGTTGGGGATTTGGAGTTCAGTTGGGAGTATATCGTAGAGATTTGTCCCTTGTGTGTGGGGGCTTGTAGGCAGGTTGTCTCGAATTGTGTAGGTTTTGTGGTTGCTGTTTTTATGTTCTGAGGTTCTTTCCGGAAGCTGCGTAGTTGTAGGTAGCGAAAGTGGTCGAAGGTGTTCAGTGGTGTGGTGCGAGGGAGTTCTGGAAATGGTATAAGTTGTTGGTTACTGAAGAAGTCCCTAAGACTAATCAGTCCATTTTCCTCGTAGTGCGCAAAGTCTTGTGGTGTCATGCCGGGGGGAAGCGTTTGTTTCTTAGGATTGGGTTGAGTGGTGAGGGGGAGTTTAAGGGAGTGGTGCGTGGTAGTTCTATCCCAAACTCGTAGGGATGTGGTCAGGGCTGGTGACGTTGGTGGGAGTTCTGGTCTGTCTCTTTTGGGGAGCCAAAAGAGGAGAAAGGGGTGGTCTCTGCCCAGGAGGTCATGCTCCAGGTCTACCCATAGTTTTGTCCCTGGTGGGGAGTGGAGGTGTTGTACTTGAGCTAGCTGGGCCACTTGATAATATTGGAGGAGGTTGGGGAGGCCCAGGCCCTCGGTTTTAACAGTTTTGTACATTGTCATCCGTTTAATCCGTGGTATTTTATCTGCCCAGATGAATTTGTCTATTTTTGTTTGGAGGGCTTTAAAGTACAGTCTGGAGATGGGGGTGGGCAAGGCCTGGAACATATACAGGAATTTGGGCAGGAGATTCATTTTTATTGAGGCAATTCTGTCCAACCAGGATATGTGCATGGGTTGCCGTCTTTGTAGATCTAATTGGGCTTGTTCGATTAGGGGAGTGTAGTTTAGTGTATAGGTTTTGGATAGGTCTGCTGGGATGTGTGTGCCTAGG